GTAGAAGTTTGGTAAAAAGGCAAGTAAAAAGGCAGAGGTATACTAAAGTACCAAAGTTATGCTGTGAAGTAGATGCTAAGGTCTAAGTGAACTCTACAAGGACATAGCAGTTTAATAGTTAAGCTCTGACTGCAAGTATTGGTTCTGCTATAGCAATACCTAAGTTAGTTATAAAAATAAATACAGAAGACTCTAGAAGATTTATTTTAAGAATAAATTAGTCCTAAGGTTGAGACAATAATCTGGACATTCAGATATAACTCAGTAAGTTAATACAGATTACAGATTCAAAGAGTTTAAAGTAAACACCCAAGCAAGAATGTTAGATAACCAATTGTATGCTTTCTTATAGTAGTACATTGAATCACAATACTGATAAATAATTAAAAAAAATAAAAAAACCAAAGAAGACATCTTAAAAAAAAAAAAATAAATAAAAATATTTTAGCAAAAAAAAAATTAATAATTTAATTATTATTATTAACTTAAATTTAACTAATACTTATTGTATTGTTATAGATAAAAGCCTTCTTAATTTTTATATTATAATTATGATATAGCATAGAAAATTTCTTACAGATATATGTGATATTCAAAAGAGAAGTATAGTTCTTGTTAGACATTGTTAAGAAACTATACTCTTCTCTGAAACAATTTAGAAAGGTAATGCAATACTAATAACTCTACTTTATTTTACTAAGAGAAGATAAACCTTGTCTGTAGAAATTACTCTAAAGGATAAGTATCAATACAGTTTATAATTAAAAGCCATTTATTAAAATAATAACAAGATGGGCTATTCTTAGGTTTCTGTTTCTAAAAAATCTCAAGATGTGTTTACAATATTAAAAGGAAAAGAAGTGTCTATTGCTTAATTGTACTTGAGAAATTTAGCAAAGTTTATATATCTGTAAGCTAAATGACTAAGTAACCAAGTAACTAAGCAACTAAATGACTAAGTGACTAAGTAACTAAGTATTAAGCAACTAAGCAACTAAACAACCAAGTAATTACTAAGCTACCAGAAAGTTCTAGCAACTAATAACTAATAATTACTAAATAACTAATTACTAAGCAACTAAGTAACTAAGTGACTAGATGACTAAGTAACTAAGTAACTAATAATTACTAAGTAACTAGAAAGTTTTAGCAACTACTACTAATAATAATAATACAATAATAAAATAACTAACACTAAATAATAAAATAAAATAATAATAATAACTAATGATAATAAAATAATAATAATTTATCCTTCAGGCCATTATGATCTGCATCGATCAATAATATAATTATTTTTTACTTAAAAATTTCAATAATATGTATCGGAATTTAAACTTTATTAAAACAATTTATATATATAATGCTAATTCTATTACATATATGTATGATGCATATTAATTTATTTAAGAATTACAGTACTAGCCATAATGTAATAATTATTAATAATTTGCAATTTTTTCTTTTTTCATTTCAAGAGTTGATGGCCCCCAAGTGTCAGATTTTTTTTGAATGAATTAGGATGAGGGTTTCCAGGACCATAAATACCAGGATCGGTTGGAGGAATAGAGTTAATTTGAATATTTGATAATGGTGCATGGGTTTGAAAAGCATGATTAATCTAAAAAAAAAATAAGAAAAATTAAAATTTTTGACTTATACAAATTAAAAAAAAAATTATATATTTGCATTACCAAGTTTGTAGCATCTTGATTACTTTGTTTAATAATTTGTATGTTTTGCTTATTCTAACAATATGTATTTAGTTGTATTTTATATAACAAAAAAAAAAAAAGTATTACCAGATCTTTATTATCTTGATTATTCAGTTCAATTGTTTGATCTTCATTATCTTGATTATTTGGCTCAATTGTTTGTATGTTTGAATTATTCTAAATACAAGTATTTAAATATTATAATAAATTATATTAAATATTAATTAAAATTATCAGAATTTAAAATAAGTTACCTTAATATTACTAATGCTTGAATTAATTATTGTGGATAAACAATCTTTTTTTTGTTGTGCAGAAGAGTGTGAATAAATTCTAACAGAGCTTTCACTCTTATGTCCAGTGATTGACATTAAAGTTGAATTAGGCATTTCAAGTTGATATAAATGTGTAATTGAAGTGGTATGGCCTGAATGGTTGACTATATTTCAACCTTCAATTTTAATTTCACAGGATTTGCAAATCTTCCTTAACATAGTATTTATTGAATGATCACCAAGTTTTTTATCTTTATACCAGATATCTCCTAAAATTAATATGTATTAGTATTAATATAAATATATTCAAGAAAAAACTTGTTACTAAACTAAATCTATAAACAAGTTTTTTCTTGATAATATTCTTGTAATTACCAATTGGATTTTTTGTCAATTGAAGATGCAAATTTGGCATAACATAATCATTGGGTTATTTAGAAAAATAAAGTTGAATATTATGAACAGGTTCAGGTTTTTTAAGAGGATCTGGTAGAATTAAAATACTGGTTGCATTACCATTATCATCTAATCCTTCTTGATCATTTTTTTGGGACCATTTTGTAAAAATAATTACACCGTCAGAAAGAAATTTAAATTGTGAAATTTTCATTTGGCTGTGCTCACCACCCTGTAGTGCACAAAGCATGCACATCCATATAAATACTCGATATTGTAACTCTTGAGCATGTAATGCTGATACGTTTGGATGATTAAATATAAAAGAAGTTTCTTCTTCAGTTAATGGATCATGATGTTGTGGAATAATTCCATTTCGTTTCAACTGTTTCATTTTGCCATCTAATGTATTCTACAAATTTCTAAAATCATCTTTGTGTAACAACTTAAATTTAGTAGAACCAGTTTGTGCATCATAAATCCATTGACTTAATAGGATTAATCTATTTTTTAAAGAAGATGGTGAATATTCTTTTCCATTTTTAAGTTGTCATACACCAACTATAAATTCTTGCATCTCCCGTTCAAGTTGAGACTTGTCAGTTATAGTTTCAATATCATAATTGTATCCAACTTTTTTATACCAATTCTTAAGTATATTAACCCATTTCTCAATAGATTTCATAATGTTTACTGGAACCCGTGAGTTAGTAATTTGATCTAATTCTTCAGTTGATGGCAAATAGCTTTCTTGAAACGAATTTGCACACTATACATATAAGTATTTTTTTAGTAAATTTTTAAAATTAATTTTAAAAAAATACGAATTTTATTT